AGCTGTTTGCGTAGCTTCTCAGTGAACTACGGCTCTGTGTAGTAAATGCTGCTCCATTTGAAAGCATGTGAAAATATCACATTTAATAACATTTTTACTCCGAACTCTCTTCATAACGTCAGTCGAGTGTTTGAAATAAATCCTTCTGTGAGATGATGTGGCTTCTTACACAGAATAAGGCACGCAACATATTTTATAGTATTCTAAGCAGTGATAAAGGCATTGCATTATAAATATACTTTATTTTAATGAAAATTATAACTCCGATAAGAACTCAGATAAACCGTATATTGCCGTAGTCGTGTGTTTATTAGTCACGTTGAATCAATGAAAGCAGTTGAATCATCTGTTTATTCAGCTGCAGCGATAGGCATTTTCTGGGTTTCTTCTGCTAGACGTATTTGGAGTTACAATTGAGAGAGCGCCCTCTAACAATAAGCATTGTGCTTTGGTACTTTTAATATGAAAGTCTCATATTTCAATTTCTTTCCATTGTAGTGCAGTATTTAAACAATAAATACCATTTTGGCACTGTTTAATGTGGAGTGACAGATCGCTGTAGAACCTCAGTTCAACAGATGCAGCAGCGCGAGGCGCATGTGAACTGATCATCTCCACATTAATACCAGTTTCAGCACAAAATGAACATGAATAAACATCCGAAGGCAAGTTAAAAGAAAGAGAATAACTTTACAAACCATATCCTGTCTCAAGTAATCGCTCAATCAGTGTTTCAGCCACGCAAAGATGTCAATATAACGTCTTGTAAACAATGTCATGTAACGTCACATTTACCTCAGAAAAACATATTTGGTGACCATAAACTCATTAGTCAGATAGAAAAGTAAACTGTAGAGAGGGGCATGGTGCTAAATATATGCACCATATAACATATTCATTATAAATTTTACTGTTCTTCAATGTTTAATTTATGTTTGAATAAATCCATCAAGTTTTTTTATGACAGTCACCATTGTTTATATTTAAAAAAAAACGAATTGAAGTAGAAATATTATTATGTAATTGTAACTTTGTAAAAACTTCATTAAGTGTAATTAACAAATCAGTACATTTTAACCTTCAATGTTATAGCATTGTAGTACCAACTGATTCTCATGTATATTTTACAGCATTAGTTGAGGTTTTTTTTTCCTTGAGAAAATTTGGCATGTACTGTACCTGATATATATCCAAAATAATCGATATTGAATCGAATTGGTAATCGAATCATGAAATTTGTGTCAAAACCCAGCCCTACTAATAATGTTAGTGCATAAACAGTGTTAAAGACATAGCTTCGATACCTGAAAGCATATGCTATGCTTACAATACTCTACGTGTAAGCATTCAATAATAACATTTCATCCTATAGTAACTCTCACTAAAAGTCTCCTGAATGCCATTGAAGGATACATCCAAAACATGAAATCGGAGGTTTGCCAATACAAAAAGACAGTATAACACTACTATGACATCAAACATGATTACATTTACCTCGCAACAACTGTGTTCTTACAAGGGCTGAATGATTAATTGCATTTGTGATAATATCGCGATATGGAAAAACTTTTTTTTCGAAAACGATTACACTCGGTCACGTGAGAGTAAAGAGGTGTGTTCGACTTGAAGATCAATCGGTGTATGGCATCAAAGTATGGCGAGAGAAAGCATAGGGAGACGTCCGCACTCTCTTATAGCTCTCGCAGTACTTTGATGACACCACCCTAAGCAGCGCTGCTTCAAGTCGAGCGCAGGCCATCAGCAAAAAGAAAAAGAAAAGAAATAAAACCGTAAACAGCCAAAGGACATAACTTAGAATGGGAGACGGATCAGTTTGTGAAAGGGAAGAGAAACGCCATAGACGAAGTTGCACAGACCCAGGAAGGTGCTGGTCATTTAAAAGCTAAATGCAGAAAATATGACAAGGCATATCTTGCTCTCGGGCTTGACTCACGGTGTCTATACCGGACGCTACAGTTGTTGTGTCGCGCCGCAACAGCTCTACACTGGACGCGACAAAGCGACCATTGCAAATCATTTTAACTTTGTGTCAGTACGTCATAAATAGAACAAGACATCAGTTTAATGTCAGGTTTTGTCGTGTCGCGCCCTATACAGTCTATGGTCACGCCGTGCCGCATCCAGTGTACACAGCATCACTGATTATAATGGTTCTACTGTATTTTGCCGCTCGCGTCCAGTGTAGACACGGTGTTTAATGTCGTTGGTGAGGAGGAAAGCCTGTGTGTGTGTCCTATGCCTTAGCGGACAGCAAGAAACCCACAAAAAATTAATAAATAACAGAGAGAAAAATAATAATAACAGTTATTCTCTCTATGCTATTTTTCAATGTTTCAAGTGATGCAGGGGCCTCATGTATAAAACTTTACGTAGATTTCATCCTAAATGTGTGCGTACGTACAAAATCTAAAAGTTTCAGATTTATAAAGCCATGCGTACGCCAGAACCTGCGCAAAATTCCCTTTGTAACACCCAGTCAGCGGAAGATTGTGCGTACATGAATCTCCAC